AGAGAGGGATTAATATTCAGTTTATAAAAGTATTCACCAGGTTTCCTTTATCTAGGCATCTCCTTAGTTCATTTTAAATTATCCAATTAACAAATAATTGTTTTATAAGTTAATTTTCAGTATTAAGAGTGTTAAAACATTCCCTTTAGGATTTCATTTTTAAAAGATACTGTTCTAGTATAAATTTGTATTTATGGCTGAAATCTTCTATGAAAGATAGCAGTCATTACAAAGTCACAGTTTCAAAGAATATTAACCTTAATTAGGGTTACTAAGTGTTACTATCAATAAGCAAAATTAAAAATTCAGTGGCACAAACAAAATAGCAGTTGTTTGTCATGTAAATGTCCAATATTAGCAGGTCTAGGCTAGAAGATCTAGTACTTAGCAGCCCAGCTTGACTGTGGATCTACCAACTTTGTACATGATTATCAGCATTCCAGGCTGCAGGAAGGGAAAGAGGAGAAGACCAGGGAGAGCCATTTCCTTTTAAACAGGGTAGGAAGAAGCTGCCAGTGTGACTTCTTACATTCCTCAGTGAGAACGTAGTCATCTGGCCAAGGTGAATTGGATACAAGGGGAACTGGAAATTGCAGCTTCTATCTGGGCAGCTCCATCTCAGCTATACCCTTACTATGTTGTAAGAGTCAGAGAATAGGTTTCAAAGAACTGATAGAGTGATAGTGTCTGTCACCCTTCCAGCTTACAATTCTGTGTTCATCCCTCTCCTGATATGCTCACCCTCTCACCAAGGAAAACAATCCAAGGAAAACAACCCCAAATTTCATCCAGCTACTACAGCCAGCTCAAATTCTGGGATCTCTGGGTGACATGCAATCATCTCTGTCACATTCAGATGTGGCTTCTTATGGTCGAGAGACTCACTGACTGCAAGAACCCCTTTCTGCCTTCTCCAGCACTCAGCAAACCCTGGGAAAATAGAAACCGGATGATGAGATGTCCTGTTCTTAGGTATTCCTTGGCTCTTCCACTCCCAGAAGAGTGATAGAATGGCAGGCTCATTTTTCTGAAATATCAAAGGAGATACATTTAGGAAGCCAAAAAAGAATACTGCTCTTTCTAGGAGAAAGTAGCATTAGACAAAAGGAAAGATATTTACTGACAGAAAGTATTCTTTTTGGTAGTAATTTGTGAGGACATTAGTTAAAGGATTTCAGGAGCAAAATAAGGAGAGAATCTAGACCCAAATTAAATGTCAGCTTTTTTAAACATATGAATTATTTGATTAGGACATCTTGATGTGGCTATTAAGAGATTAGTGACATTTTGCTAAGTGACTTTTTGACAGAACCATATCAAAGGGTAAAAACATTCTATTTCATTCTCATTCCTGAGAAATATATGTATAACTTGACCCTTTGGTTTCTTCCCCTTCATTCCACCATTAGGCAATGTTTATTCTATGCGTTCCCTGCTCTGTGTATGTGTGTGTGTGTTTACTATATTTGTACATAATTCAGACCATATATTGGGCAGGAATCTTCTTGATGAAACCAAACGATTCCCCAAGCCAAAGGTCTATTTTTAAACATATTTTAAAGTAGTTTAAATAAGGCTATAAGCTATTCACCTAAAATGTAGAAGTGCAAAGGCAGGCATTAGACAAAAAGAAAAGGAATGTGATAGATGAGAACTAAAAATGGACTTAGGGCTAAATAAGAAGTAAAGACATCCTCCTGCAGGAGCAGTATGTGCAGCGCTTGAGAGCCCATGCCTGAAGCCAGATTGCCTGGTTTGCATCACTGCCTTCCACTCACTCACTTTGTGATTTTCACAGAGTTACTTAGCTTCTCTGTGCCTCTACTGTCCAACTGCAGAATGAGGGAAATCAATGTCATGGGATTGCTGAGAACATTGCACGATTGATTCCCTACACCTGTTGAACCATTCAAGCTAAGCCCCCAAGACATTTCTCCTTGGGCCTGTGAAGAACATTTTCAGGATGAGGCCAGTAATTCAAAACCCAGGGCTGCCACTACCTGGCATTGAACCATCTTGAGCAAAGCTGAGTTAGGGAGTGGTAGAAGGTGAGCGACAATTCATAGTGTCAGCCACTATCCATGCCTTCTCCCCACCCGTGCCTTCTCCCCACCCGTGCCTTCTCCCCACATGTGCCTTCTCCCCAC